CCCCAAAACCCCAAAACCCCAAAACCCCGAGAGTGGGAAATCCGTTTAAATGGATTTGTGTAATAATTAATAAGATAAGCTTATATAATAATAAATATCAAAAATGAAAAAAAATACTTGCACTCTACTTGTGGCATCCATGCTTCTCTTTGGTATGGCAATAGCTGAGCAAAAGCTAGGTTTTGTCATTGAATTCGTCAGACACGGTGCTAGAGCTCCAATCTACTCAAATGCTGGAAATTTCTTGGTACCTCCAGGCTGCTTGACTGCTCAAGGAATGAGATAGAGATATCTATTAGGCAAGATGAACAGGTAAAGATATATTGATGAGTACAAATTAGTTGATGATACCTACAATCCAAGTCAAATGTATATCCAATCAACCAACGTTCTGCGAACCATACAAAGCAGCTACTCTGAATTAATAGGCTTATATCCACCACTCAAGTAACCATCAATGTCTTAAGGAGAAAAGATCAGCCTTAAATCAGGCAAAGGAATGCCCAAAATAAAAATTAGCAATGCAAATAGCAATCAAAATGACATCGATGCTCTGAAAGATGATCCCTCAGTTGGCTATTAATACATTCCAGTTTTTAACTATGTTAATACAGATGCCAATGATGATGTTTCGAGTCAGGGATGCGACTACGCTTAGTAATAAGCCAATCAAAGAGGAAAAGATAACAGCACCTACTATGGAGTCAAAGATTTTATCTTTCCAATAATTAGAAAACCCTTCTAGCAAGCTTTTAAACTCACTGATAAGCAAGCATATGCTTTAAGTTTCAGTAATTTGAATGATATGGAGGACACTACCTTAGCTGAGAATATGGAGGGACTACCACCTAGATTCATTTATTCCGAAGATCAATGGTATGCTTTGAGAAATATCTAGAAGTACAATTTGATTTCACCTTTTGAAGGTAAAGCTAGATAGTTGTGGGCAACTAAAATGCTCCAAAAGCCACTAGGCAATATGACAAACAGATTTAATGAAATTATCAATGGAAAGGAGGATATTAGAGATTCTATGAGATACTTTATTCACTCTTCACACGATACCCAGTTAGCTAATCTTTTGGAATTTATCAATCCAGACAAGCACGAGTGGATTGACATGACTTACGACTCCACTATCTTATTTGAGTTGTTCTACGATAGCGACTGTGTCAAGACTGCCACAAAGGACTAAGACCTTAACTGCTTTACAGTTCATTCTTCTCACAGTGGCACTCCACTCAAATTCGATACCTGTCTTGATGCCAATAAGTCCAGAGGCAGTAAGTCTAAGGTTTGCACTTATAGAGACTTTTTAACCCATCTTGCCAAGTACCAATTCCAAGGGGATCTCTAGAGTGAGTGCTAAAAGCCATATTTAGGCTGAGAAATATCACCACTCAAACAGTACTTATTAAAATCAAAATAATATAAAATATTCAATAAAATGTGTTAAGACAATCAAAGTACTTTAAATTTATCATTTATATCATTTGATAATGGGGTTTTGGGGTTTTGGGGTTTTGGGG